CCTCGAAAGTGCGCGAAAAAGGCCTCTGGCATTCAGACTCATAAGGTGTCGCTATCTTTGAGTAAACAGTCCTTGGTTTGAGTCATACTTCAAAGGTAAGCCTCGATCCCGACCCCTAGGTAAATGAAACAAATTTAAAAACAAAATCGTTAGAAAATTAGTTTTGTAAGGAAATTGTCTGTAAGCATTTTTTCATCAAGAAAAGAGTTATTTGATGAGCGGAAAATAGCCTAAATCTGTAGTTATTTTCCTTTGCTGTTAAAAGTGAAGTCTCCCTCATTAATAGCTTGCACTAATCGTTTCCAAAGCGTTTTCGTTCAACGGTAGCGTTCAAGTTCAATAACGGTTTTTGAAGATGCGTAGCGAAAATAACCGCTGTGACTAATGCTGGCTCACATTCTGATTTCTCCCAGAGCTCTCGATTTCTCGGTGCTAACCGAAGAGATCATGAACTCTGGGAAAGAGACTGGATTTCGACGCATTTATTTTTAGTTTTTGCGTTGAGAATTTGTCGTTAAATCAAGGATTGTACAAATTCATAACTTTCTTTACTCTCGTCACCAGACTTCTTGACAATGAACTAATGTTTTAAAGAGAAATTAGATGTTTGATCACTCTCGAAAATTAAAAGACTACTCACTTTTTAACGCGAAGAAAGAACTTTTCGCGATCGAATTTTTCAGCGCCATCCACATCATTCAGACTACCACACTCCAAATAAACATCAAAACACATCTGCAAAGAAACAAAATCAGTTGGCAAGTCAAAATACCGTGTACCATAATAAAGAAGTTATGATATAATGATTAACTATGTTTCCCCTACCCAGCCCCAGAGGACAAGCTTTTGCTCACCTGTAGACGGCGAAGCTGATTGACTAAGAGATTTAAAGATGAGTCACGTGCTGTGAGTTCCGGGTAGAAAACATTCACTTCTGCTTCTATCGCCTGTAAACAAATATCACACGATTTGATCACGTTTTAAATCGCAATTGCGACACTTTGCGTGTTAAATAGGAGGTAATATGCCCACGAAAAGCCCTGGGGGCAAATATAAGCCCTGGGATGTTTCCCTACAAGAGCAATTTACTATTACTAACTCTGGAATAAAAATTAAAACAACGTAAATGTTAAACATCAGTGAAGGGATTTCCCAGTGAGTGATATCCAGACCTCTAGGTTCACTATCAGTTTAGAACAGTGACAGCGGAAGGCGGAGGACTGGGGCGCAAATCCTGAACAGTCACATGACCAAAATCGTACCCAGTGTCTCTCTTCCTTATCACAAATGCCTTAACTACTAGCTGTGATTCGGAGATTGGATTGTAAGGATTCAAAACAAATCCACACCTTGGTAAAGCTGTCCCTTATCACAGTTTGTCCGCAAGTTATTTCAATTGAGAATAATGGCGGCGTTGTCGGATATTCCTGAGACAAGACCACTGATGCCTTGAGACGCACTGAAAAAACAATTCATTAAATTGTCAAAATTGGAACTATGAAACACTTCACAATCTCTAAAACTTGTTGAGTAGTATAATTCTGGGTTTTAACCAAAGCCAACCATTTCCCTCCTGCACACAAGACTGAGATTCGAATCGGAAAATTCTACGCTGATAATGTAAGCGTCTCTGATTTGTAGCTTTGATTTTGAATCTGAATCAGATTTGAATCGTCACGCATAAGTTAGAAACAAATTGTCAGTATGTCAGTAAGTCTTTCGGGGAAACCTAACATGTCTCTCTCGCGGACGAAGAAAAACGCCTGTTTATGTAGGCTAATTTATCACTGATAAATCTAAAACGTCAGATATCACCAAGTTTTTGTATACGCCTGTCGGCGCAGAGCAAAAGTTTCTCAAAAAGCGAATTGTCTCAGCTCAACCTGCAGCGAGCAAAACACCCCAAACCTACTTTTATTTCTCTCAAACACCGCATGAAAGAGCATGTCACTTTCTTGAATGAATCCTTCGTCAATAAGACTTTTCAACTCCGCTTTTTCCTGGAAAAGAGACAATACATATCAGATCAGCATATCAAAATTGTATTAGCCTGCGAGCAGGCTTTTCGCGAGGAAAGAAGAAAGAAAGTCAAACGTCATTTTATTTCTTTATTTCTTTCCCCGCGAAGAGCCTGCTCCAGGCTACATTGTTCCACGAAAAAAACATTGGTCAACTTCAAGAGGTAAAATTTGCTTTGCAGGAAAATGTCCTTACCACAAATTCTTCGAACGTGGCTGGTTGCCACGAGGACAGCTTTGCTGATAACTTGCTCGGGAACATTTGAAGAGAATTCTTGTTTACTGGAATCGTCAGCGCCTCTGTAAATTTACAAAAGTAAAAATCTTCAGGTCGTGAACTCAGAGTAAAAAAGTGCAACTGACACAGTGCAAATCTTACTAATTTAACACTTCGTCTAAATAAGAAGCAAGTCTAGTGGTCCGGGTAAAGCAGCATCTCCTTTTGCGTCCTAAGTTCATCCTCTACAAGATGTCTGGTATTATTTTACCGTATTCAACGCAAAACTTCCACGCTGACGATAAAGTAGCTCTGCAAAGATCGAGTATGATTGGCTGTCGCGTGTTTATTTGTTCCGTTTTTCCCCGCGCAAGTAACACTGTGCGTAACACTGTGCGGCTACGTCTTACGGGGCACACCATTTGACTTTCTCGCGGGGGGGGGGCGGGGGGGGAGCGTTGAAAAGAAAATCTTGAGAACTTGCTTGTACCAGAAAACATTCATACACATGACCACTACCGAATTAAAAATAACGCACGTTCAGTGAGCCGAAATAAAAGCACATTACACGGAGGAAAAAATTACCATGCATACAAACGTCCCAAGAAAAAAAATTATGGCGGATCTCGGGGGTCCCCCCCCCCCTTTTTTTAAGTGGACATATAGACGTCACCTCCGGAAAACTTCACTCGCAACCCTTTGTGAAACTGGATAAGCCAGTTACATATACACGCAACAATCACCGGTCATCTTGGATTTGTGTTTGAAAAAAAAAAATAAACTCTGGCTGGGAAATCACATTATTATCGTGACGTCATCGTTTTCAAAAGGCTCCATTTTCAAAATGTTTTCCGTCCAGACTAAAACGCAAAGCCGGCGTTTTCAAATTCATCCGGTTTGAAGAAAGCTCTCGAAAAGCTCCGTTTTCGTGACGGTTTAGTATGGACGGTAGGAACTAACCGGAGAAAAAAAGCTCTGTTTTCAAATTCCGCCGGCGTAGTGCGACGGGGGCTTAAATTCCCTAATATAGATATGATTGTGAAAGTTGCTTATGGTATCCTAGCCTACCTAAAGAGGTCAGTTGTTGTTGGAGAGCAAGCCTGGCCAAGATTCTTGCTCTGACGGCTTTGATTGTTGCCTCCATGTGAGACAGACTTACTGATGACTTGGGCACAACTTCCTGAAATGTGCAACAGATGTAGTGACTTAAAAGATGCAGTTGCTAACTCATATCAAACAATTAACACTGTTTAACTATTCTGTTTCCAAATAATGTTTCTTGAGAATGTTTCAGAGAGACACAAGAGAAGGACAAGTTGGAAGGGGGGGGGGGGAGGAAGGCATGGCTAGCCCCACCCCCTCCTCACCAACACTACCCAAAGCCAACCACCATCAGACAAAAGGGACTACAAGAAATATAACAAAACAAATTATTATGGATATTGCGATTTGTGGGGGAAAAAAACTAGGATATTGTCAAAAAATGTTTCTCAGCAAAGTTTGGTCAACAAAAGTTGCCGTTTGGAATTTGCTAACATTGCATTACTTTATGGCCGACAAATTGTGGAGCTGAAAACTTGCGCTGGACTGAGCCAGGAAAGAAAATGTTGGTGTCTAAGAATAACATAATGTATCCCTGGTCATGCTGAGGACAACAGTAGTTTTGTTTTTCCTCTGACAAAGAACAAGCACTCAAAATGTCAGCCTTTCTGACATTCGCTATGGAGGTCAATTTGCCTAAAACAACTTGAAATTGATATTCACCTCATGTTCCTCTTGCCTGCCCATTGCAGTACAACAGTTTTCTTTAGAAACTAATCACTCTGTACAACTGATTTTGGGTGACTTGGTTGAATTATCCCAGTGCTGTTTTAGTTTAAACAACTTACAACCATAGCACTGAGACCTATTCAGGTCTCCATTCAACCAAAGATGGTTGAATCCAATACAACACAGCCTGAAGTACAAGCATTGAGTTTGCCTTACATGTGATTCCTCAGGTAAAAAGTCCAGTCCACCGATCCTTTGAGCCCACATATATGGCTTGCCCACTAGCTTGACAAAATCCTCAAAAGTGGTAATTCTGAAAGAATGTAGTCAAGTCAACATCACAACTAGTTTCTGTAAGAATACAGTGCAATCTTGATTTTTTGAACCTTTAATTTTTTCAAAATTCCAATTTATGGCCAAAAAATATTGGGAGAAATTTACCCTTCCCATTTTTTCAAATAAAATTTCTGATCCACTTTGTGTTTCCACTGTACAAGCAAATAGGATAGAAGTTTTGATAGTCTTATCAACACAGTCATATAGGACAACATACTGACTTTTATTACAATGAGCAGTCAAGGGTGTGGTCTAAGAAAAATTTCAAGGAGCCCAAAGGTTCCTAACCATGAAATCCTGGGTGCTCAGCACTTAAAATTATGTGAAAAAAGTAAGGTTTTTCCAGTCCAAAGTGGCACCCGGGTGCTTCTAGAGCACAGCCCCGTGCAGTATAAAACACTGACAGGGTCAGGGGTTTTATACAGTTGAACCTCCATTTGAGACCACCTCTCATGAGCAACTACCTCTCCTCAGCAACCAGTTTTCCAAAATACCAAAAGTTTCCAAGTCAAATCACTATATTTAGAACCACTTGAAGCGACCACCTCTCGTAAGCGGCTGCGACCACTTTTAGAGCTAATAGTTTGAAATTTTCTTTTGTTTTTGACCTCTCATAAGCAACCTCTTGACAGATAATAGAGTAGAAATTGGATAATAAGTTGTTGTAACATTAGCGCAATACTGGGTAGTACAAGAGACGGACATTTCTCAATGATAAGCACAGTATTTTTTTCTCGAAATCGACTTTTGACATCAATAAAGCATTTAAAACATGGGGTAAGTCTCTACAGTTAACATATGCTAATGGGGCAAAATTTTGGCCCCGTATGGTCTTAGCTCTCATAAGCGACCAGGCTTGACATTTTGGGTGATTGCTTATGGGAGGTTCGACTGTATACAAAATTGAATCACACTTTTTATTTCCAAATGAGTTAATTTAGCTTTTTCAGACCAAATGAACCATTGAACTAAGTTTGCTTGCATTAAATTTCTATAGGATATCATTTGATTATGTTACATTGAACACACAGGGTTAGCAGAAGACAAAAACAAAACAAAATTATCAATGGAATCAAATTTCTCCTTACCCAACTTTAGCAAGTTGATAGAGACTGGATGGGTTTGGTGCCTTGCCACCGTCGTCATCAGGAAACAGATTGGTTAACAATGACTCAGGAGAGAGAAGGGCACTAGAACACAAACAAACAACAATGACATAAAGCAATTTTAAATTGAGTGTCATAAAACCAAAACCAAAGTGATCACTCTGGCTAATCGCAAATTACACACACAATCTAGTGAACCAATCAAAACTCAAAGCAAACACATGTAAGTGTATCTGATGCAAAGAACAGGAAAATACTTGCAACTAAGTCAAGATTGGTTTTGGTTTTACTTCTGGTTGGATGACAAAGTGCTACAAATTTTATAAGCCAAGCACTTAGCGTTGTAATGCAAAACCAAAGCAAATTTTATCACTTGTTTGTTTGTTAAATGCAGATTTTCATTATTTAATCATCACTGCTTAGAGAGGCTTGAAATTGATCTACATGTATTTATTGTGTCAGCATTCCTAGTCCACACACACACCTGTACATATCAGAACACTACGAGGTGTCAAGATGCCTGTTTACCCGTTCGCAAAACTATGTACCTGTTTGCTAACACTGGTCCTGGTACTGCTTCATTTAAAGACAATGATGGCGATACCACAACGGTGTTGAACGTTGGCAGAAAGGAAAACAACAAATCAACTGTTGCTTTGTCTAAAAGAGAAAACATGAAAGTTTTAAACCTTTAGAGCAAAGTTAAATAAATGTACTTCCTATGGCATTTTTTAACGTTTTCCTTACTGGTCAGAATTTCAACTGAAGGAGTATAAATCAAAGTGCCAGGTACTGTATCAAAATTAGCTCAGAACATCACTTGGGAATTTAGCATTTTTATTCTTGCAAAAGGTTATTAGACAAGTTCAGAAAACATGGAACAAAAGTACATGATTGTATGCATTGAGGACAACTGGGGATGAATGTGGCATTTCTTGAGGTAAAGCAACCAGACCTAGAGTAGGAAACTTGGAGCCAAATTTAAGGGAAAACAATACATAAATGTTTTTGTGACTCACATCTGTAGATTATCATTTATCCGCTTTTACGAGTGGTTTCCTGGGCTTAATGGACCACATTGACAATGTCACATTTTCTACTTTTTTTTTCATTCAAACAAAAAATAAGCCTCACAACTTGATTTATTGTGCCGAATTTAGTACATATATTAGGTTTCCTAAGAATCTGTTGGAAATATTGGACCACAAAATAGTCATCCAACAAATGTTTGCCCCTTGGACAAATATAAATTTGTAAAAATAGGCAAGTTTGGGGTCCTGTATTTCCATGAGTTTGCAACAGATTCTGATTAACCTCTGCATATTTGCTAGCCTGCAAAAACAGATGGATTTCCAGCTTTTGTCTTTAAGGCTGAGAATTCATCTGTGTTTGCAGGCTTCATATTTACTACATTTAGAATGATAAATATTTATTGATGATCTATGGAAGTGGTTTACGAAAAATAAGAAAGATTGTTGATTTGGACTGATATCGTTGCAGTGGTCTATTCTGATCAGATCAGATAATACAATAATACAACAGATTAGGTTTTCAAGGTAAAACTAACCTTTACATTTCACTTGTAACAGGATTTGAAGTGGATGTTTCTTGAGCAGCAATTTTCTTTTCTCCTCCAACCGAGCTTCTTCCTTTTTTCGCCTATGTTTTGACTGAGACAAAAACACCAAATGTTTTCGTATTGCCATGCAGCAACAAACATGCTACCTCCTACCATCATGTATTAAGTTTATTTTCCAAGTATCGAGTCAATGTTGAGGTTCTTAATGAGCACAATTTATAGTAAAACCAAATAAATGTGAATTCAGTTGTGACATATTCTTCTCAAACTCAATAATATTCATCAAGTTTAACCAACGAAAATCATGACTGTGACAGTGTTTGGATATCTGATCTTAATAAAT